TTGCACGATAACATCGATATTGGATCATGCGATGATAAATATCATAAAATTTGTTCTGCCGGAACAAATGGTTGGCTAAAATGTGCCGCTGCGTGGCACATGTCAGCCAACCATTTGCTCTGACAAAACAAATTTCAAATTTCATGATATTAATCATTGCATGACCAATTCTTATAATTATCAGCATGTTTTTTATATAGTGAAGTTAAAAAGTCATCAAAAGTCAAAAGTATCACTCTAGATTAAAAGTTACCGAATGTTTAAGTTGACAAGAATGTAGATCATTATGGCATGCAATTGTTCAAGATTTGTGGACGAAAATGCTACGTTCCTGATACGCACACATGCACACACCCCTACCTATAAAATCATGATTTCAAGATCTCGTTGCACGTGTAAAAAAGGAAGTAGATCACTGTGCTTTTTAGTATAATGTATACAAAAGTAAGGGCACCAATCAGAATCGAGATTTTGTGGATAAATGCAAAACTCGAATAGAACCATACACCACATTCCTGGTAAAGTATATTGATATATCGATATTTAATTTATTGCAAATAACAATATTATCGATATTATTATTAAAATATATCAATACAATTACAAAAATATATTAAAATATAGAGATATAAAAATTTTATTTAATTAATTTAACAAATTGTTAAAAAGATTTAAAGTGACATCGAGCCTAATTTGTAGCAAACATAGTTCTTTAGTATGGCTTTTTTTCGATTTACTTGTACCTCTTTTAATCTTCCAATAAATTTTCCTTATTGATTTTTTTTGAAGATAAATGAATCTTGGATTGTTTTACTGATTGTGACATTTTAGAATGTGTTTTTAGATCTAATAAATTGTAAAAACCTACTTTTTGCTAGTAGATAATGATAAAATAGATTTCAGTTTTAATAAAATGATACAATCTAGAAAAGTATATATTGATAATTTATCATTTGTATAGAATTCTTCAATTTTATAAAAAAAAATCATTGTTATGCAATAGCAACTTATATAAACTCAAACTATCAGTTTTTTTATTTTTTTAATCATTTCTCAATTTTTCTGCAAATCATAATACTAATTCATTCAGTAATTTAACCCAAGATTTTTTTAAAACTACATAACAAAAACTAGAAGTGAAGGATCTAGCATTGTTGTTACCAAGATAACAAACAACTAATAGCAAATGAAGCCAGGATGACAACTATTTTTCAAATTATTTTAGAGCTTTAACAATTTCTTTTTTCAAATCTTAAAAAATATTCCAAATTCATTATTAGACAAAACATTTCATGCTTCTAATAAGTTATTAGCAAAAATATTTTAAAATTTTTAGCTATTTTTAAAAAACTTTATACTATTTATAAACCTCATTAGGCATTTATGGGCTTGCTACCTGGAGATAGATTTGTATATTAATTATTTTGATAAATATAAAAAATATTATCTTGTCTAATTAGAAATTGTATCAATGGTTTATAAAAATGTTTAGCAAAATTAACCAAGCACTTTATTTGAAAATTCAATTTCAAATTAAAAAGTCAAAATTGAATCAAAAATCAATTATTAAAATATAGTTTCAGAGAATTCTATTTTTCTATTTTTTCTAATAAACTAGATAGAAAACTTAATATGTTCTGTATACTAATCAAGGTATTGTTGTGCTGTCTATAATTTGTAACCCCAATATAAACAAAGAGGTAACTGGTATTTATTATAATAAAATTTTTATAAACTTTTATATAGGGTTTGAATTATTTGTAAACTTAAATTGAATAACTTGTCTTTGTCACAAGAATCATACCTATTATTATATAGAGTTCTTAAGAATTCAGTACTATTAGAAAGTGTGCCAAATATTTTTTTACTTAAAATAGTTTATAATTACTTGAATAATGTAGAGCTCACAGCTAGTTTTTAATAAATTTCTATTTGTTTTTTTTTTATTAAACAGGACAATAGCACTTTTTTTTTATTTTTTAACATATATAGTGCACGCAGTCTAAAGACATTCAAAAATTTAAACTATAAAAGCTTTATATCTTAACTAGTACCAAAGAAAATAAATACATAGTTAAGTAGTATTTAATAAGCTCTATAAATCTATGTATTTTTATTTTATAATTTATTAATAAATTATTGAGAAGTTAGAATTTTACAAAAGGTATTTTTAATAATATTTTTTAAAATTTCAGTGGTGACGATTATTATGTAGAATGCTTTAATTGGTTATAATTTGATCATGTGATGACTATATAACGTATTGATTAGCTGATTTATTCAATATAATTTTTGAATATCGAGATCAGAGACCCGTAGACTTTAATATTTTTCTGGGTCATTAATCAGATGTTCAATCATTGCAACATGCCTTTATTAATTTATTAATCAAAAAATATAAATATTTATCGCTTTATATAAAGTTTATTAAAAAACCTTATTATCAAGTTTGATAATAAAAATATAAACTTTTTCTTTTTGCATATTGAAATACTGTCAAATATTTATTATTTTGAATTAGTCATATTTCATGTTCACTACAATGCATATAATTTGTAAACTAATAAACTTTCTAAATTTAATGTAATTCAACTCTAATTTATATGACCAAATTCTTTTAACACACTTTCTGGTACCCGACGATGAGATCAATATTTTTTTACAGCAAAAACTGCAGCTTTTCCAGAAAGACTATGCTCATAAGCACTCTTATATCAACCAGATCGACGTGCAAAATGGCAAATTTTAGTAAGACTAACAGATTCTAATACATGAAGAGCAGTTTTTTTAAGACCTTTAAAAGAATAATCACAATGTAAACATGCATATTGTTTTGCTGCTCTCCAAAAAGACTCAATATAATTGAGCTCACAATGATACTTTGGGTAAAAAATACAAAGATGACCAGCCACCTCAATAATCTCTTGTAAATGGTTTTTTTGTAATGCAAAATCAGGCTAACTTTTAAGAATATTTGTTGCACAATATTGTAGGTTGGTCGAAGCACCTGCTTTACACCCATCGCGTTCTCTTGTTAAACCAAGCACCCACAAACCACATTCTTGAAGAACACATTTGATACCTTTTGGCTTTAGTTTATTATCTTGATCTACAAATGTCATAATGTGAATAGAACCATTATGCATTCTGCCATTACAAAGGAGTGGTCTTTTTCCTCCATCTTTCATATTTATTCGAGAAACTAACAATGCATCTTTAGCAAATGAATTGTGGTTACAACTATTATCAAACATAAAAAGTGCAACTTTTCTAGAATGAGTTCTTTCGAATATTGGAATAGCCCTTTCAGACACTTTTTTACGACATCTTCATTAGTTCACCAGCCATCTTGGTTAAGGCCTGGGTAAACAATAATGCATGCATCAGTATAAGGAAGGCGTTCGTTGTTAAGAAGTAAATTATTTGCTTCTTTTTCTTCTTGCGAAAGGCAAAGTAGACCAATTGTCTCACAAATAAATTCAATAACATGTATACTAGAACCTTGGAACTTTCATCAAATTGGGTCTTCATCTACAGGCCTCCAAAACTTTTTAATACTATCATTAGCATAAAAAATTGATTCATCATGAGTAACTGGGACAATTTCTGGAACATTTGGTGGTAGTCTTGGTAGAATAACTTGATTCATATTATCTCCTTCATAGACTGCTATTTGAGATCTCAAATTAGCTATTTGTTCTAAAAATTGTTGCCGGTATCTTACAACATCATCGTGCTTATGCCTATCATAATAAATGTTTTTTAAGTGACCTTTATAATTCCAACCAAGACTATGTAACCATATTTGGGCTGTTCTAATAGAGATAGTTTTTTTCTCTTCAATTCCTAAAGCAGGGATAGCTTCATCTTTCACAAACTTTACAAACTGCTTAGGGGTTATTTTAAATTTATTTGCATGCAAATTTTGTGTAATGTTTGATTTAAAGTCTTCATGAGACAGTAACGACTTTGTTTTTACATGACATCCATAACGTGATGTAGAAATTTCACCTTTACTTAACCACTGTTTAGCCCATGTGCGAATAACTCAGGCATGCCATAGACCCTTATTAATACTATAAGCAAGAAGCTCACTAGCTGATATTTTAGTATATCTATAGTCTTTAACTAAGTGAAAAAATTGACTAACCGTGCGAAGTCTAATATCAAAAGAATTTTCTTTTATTAATGAATCAAGTGCTTCTAAGCTAAACTCATTATTTTCATCTTCATCACTAGAATTGATTACTTCATCATACGAAAGTTCATTATACAGTTTATTGCAATTGTTCATATCATTAACTTCATCATCATTCATATAAAATAAACATTTATTATTCTCTTTAGATGAAAGCTCAGTATTTGCATCAGATGAAAGCTCATTATTCTCTTTAGACGAAAGCTTAGTATCTATATTAGATGAAAACTCATTATTCTCATTAGATGAAAATTCATCATTCTCATTAGACAACAGTTCCTCATACTCATTAGACAAAAATTTAGTATCATCATCAAATGAAAGTTCTTGTTTATTTTGGAGTGATTAGTTATTATTAGCTAAAAGCCAATCAGTTATTTTTTTTGACCCAGATGCTGCCTTTCTCCATGCTGCTCTTTTATTTCATAAAGTTGATGAGGCAAAACCTGTGTAAGTTGGTTTTCATCCATTTATTTTCTCTATATTTGGTCTTTTGGCACTTTCAATAAGCTTTTCAAACACTTCTGGTCTTAGACTTTGCAATGCTTCTAAAAAAGTTTCATTTCCAGCATTATTAGATTCATAATCTGATATTTCATTATCATCATCTTTTTTCCACTGCTTTTTAATGGCTTTAGTACAGTGTTGACTATGTTTATTTTGTTTTGGCATTGAGAAGTAAAAATAGAATTGCATACTTAAATATTATACCAGGGTTATGCAATGTCATATAAGAGAAAATAGTGTATAAATCTTTTTTTTCTTTTTTAAAAAAAAAAAAAAAAAAAAAAATGGTTTATAAAGACTGGTGGTTTTTTATAAAGTATTTCTTTTTTGGTAATCAGAAACAGGTTTGAAAGAGTCTAACTTTAAAAAAAAATCTGAGACCTCAAAAAAAGTTAACATCAAAAAAAAAAAAGTCAAGACCTCAGGGAAAAAAAACTGAGATCTCAAAAAAAGGAAAAGACCTTAAAAAATACCATATTCTAAAAAAAACTGAGTTCTCAAAAAAAGGAAAAAGATACGTGTAATGAAGGCTCAAAAAAAAAAAAAAGAGAAGGTTAGCAGTCTATTGCGTTTATACTAATACACTTCTCTAGAAAAAAACTGGAATATTTATTAGCCAATAGTATTTGTAGATTTGTATATTATACATGCATATAAAATTTTAGCAGTCATATATCATTTGATGTCTTTAGGCTACGTGCACCATATAATATATTATCTGTTATCTATATTGCATATTTTTTAATATTCAAACTATATTTTTCAATATGTTTTATTACAATATCAAATACAGTATTAGCATTATGTTTTGCAGTTAAATAATTAATATACTGGATTATTAGTTTTTTTCATTCCAATACTAATAACAAAAGATTAAATTTTTTTGTTGTTCTTATGTTGATTTATTAATCATCATTTCAAATGCCAAAGCATTTTTAATTTGATAGATTTTGTATATTAAATTCTAATTCTGAAATGTCTTGATACTATGTATATATAGTAAATAGATAACTAATCTCAAGGTAGTTCTTCTACTAAAAATTTATAAAATAAACTTATATATTTAGCAGTAAAATACAATTACGTCTAGACAACTTGTATAATGTTTATAATAAGCCAAATTGTATTTAATGAATAAGAGTTTTTATTAAAAATAAAAATCGTTTTTATTTTTTTGCAAAATTTATTATTAGTCATCTGCTTGAGTTGTCAAACTAAAAAATAAATTTTGGCTATATATTTGGATTTTTGATTATGTAAATACTTTGCTTTTGCTCTAAATAATTGAGTTCATTTAAGAAGTTTTTAATTTTTTTAATATAATTTTTTATTTTTTTTCAAGATTTAAATTAGAATTTTGTAATAAGTAATAATCTAATTTAGGCTTATACAGACTCTAAACAAGATAATTATAAGTTTTTTTTTATAAGAATAGTAAGATTATCTTTTCTTGTTTGAACCCTTTGAATATTATATAATAAAAATAAGATTATTCACTAAAGATAGTTTTTCTTCAAATAACTATTATATAGTTAAGATTAACTGAGTTCTTTGTAAATATTCAAATACCTCCTTATTGGATACCTCCTTTTTCTTGAGTTAGTTTTAATATTTTTTAGATATGCATTTTTTAAATAAAACCAGCATTTATATAACTTATAAATACTTATATTTCTTAGATTTAATTAGATATATAGCTTTAATAACACATAGCTCTTAGGTAAAATTTTGTAAATATTAAAAATAAGTTTTGCTAAACAAATTTATAGAATGAAATTTGTGCTTTAATCAAAAAAACTTATTAATTAATATAAAAACTTGTCAAACTAACTAAATAAAATATATAATTGAAATAAGATTAAAAAAATTTTTTTTATATAGAAAATTTGAAAAATGATTCTATAGCTTTAGTTATAACAAGCAAGAGTTAATTTATATTGAAGCTTTGGTAAAAAAAATTTACAATATATATATCTAAAAAAGTATAACCTTAATTTTATATATAAAAATATATTATTTAGTTAATTATTTATCAATCATTTAAAAATTTATTATAATAAACTTTTTTATAACACTATATATAGTTTTGATTTATATAGTACATTACACATTCCAATGTTACAAGTATTTCTTACATTTTTACTAATCATTTTGCATATATAAAAATAAGATAGTATAATGATTACAGATTACATGTTATAAGAAATTTGCAATATTAAATATTATTTAATTAAAATATTACAAGTTATATAAAGTTAATATCAATGGTTCTATTTAGTTTTAAAAATGCTAAACAAAATTTGAAAGAATTTAATTATGAAAAATTCAAAAACATAATCTTATAAATTATTTATAGATATTATGTAATTGTAATACTATTATATATTCAAACTATATATAGTTTAAGTAATATTTAATAATAAGGTGTGGTGACTTAGTGAAGTGGTGAAGTCATTGCACCTCCAGATAGCAGGTCTAAAGTTTGAATCCCACAGACAATATTTTTAAAAAATAAACTTGTAATATGATGATAGTTATTTGTTAATTAGTTGGGTTCTAGAACCTGTATTCTTAGTAATACCATGTTTATATAGAGCTTTGGTGCATAAAAGACTAAGAAACTGTGATTATTGAAACCCGTTTGGGAAGTTTCAAGTTGAGAGTAGCAGTGACTTTTGATAGTGCTTCAGGAAGACTAAATTTGGAACTAGAGACTAAGATTAGAGAACTAAATGACTAGGTTTTTAAGTGAGGGAACATACTAGCTAAATTATAGACTCACTACTGGAGGAAAAGAACTTGTGCTCTAGAAGTATATATCAAGAGAAGAGAAACTATAAAGCACCTAGAGCTTGGGCAGACTGACTCTTTCAGATTGCTAGCTAGAAGTAAAAGAAAAACTAGTAAGAAATCTAAGAAAGAAAGAAGTTGAAGTATGAGTATTGGGTTGTTATAAACCTTACAAGGGCAAGAAGTATATAATAAGAAACTAATTAAAAAAATTGTGGTTTGAGATATAGATTAGATTATGACAGTATCCAAAAAGATAGCTTAATTGATAATCTGCCACTCAACAGAAGAATATATATAGTGTAACATAATACAGTTTACTATATAAATCTATTATAAGGTAAATGTGGTAACTCTCCAAGTAAAACATTTTTTTGTACTAAGTTAATCAACCTTGTCGATTAATTAAAGTTGTAGAGCTCATCTTTGTGGCTCTAATGGTGGTTAAATCATCCAAATCGGCCTAGTAGATATCAAAATATCTTTAAAAAACTTGTTAATATCTATATAAAATCTCTCTTTAAACAATATATTGTTTAAAGAAAGATTTTACATAGTTGTTGACAGGTTTTTTAAAGATATCTTGATATATACTTTGCCGATTTGGATGATTTAACCACCACTAGAACTGCAAAGATAAGCTCTACAACTTTCAATTAAAAGACAAAGTTGATTAACTTAGTATGAAAAAAAAGTTTTACTTGAAAGATTACCACATTCACCCTATAATAAATTTATATAGTAAACTGCATTACATTACACTATGTGTATTCTTCTGTTGAGTAGCAGATTATCACTTAAGACATGAACCTGGTAATGGCAGCATAATAGATACTAATTTATAAAAAGTTACCAAACATGCAGGTAAGTATATATGTGAAATATGTACTATTCTGTTGAATTTACTACAAAAATAAATGCCCTCTAAAAAACTAGGCTAACTGGAGGCTAAAGTTCTAGGGCTTTAATAGCAAATTATCCTGAAAAGATATATTAGAAAGAACATAGTACAGGGGTTAAAGCCAGAGAGTTTAAATGATAGCTTCCTAGTTAGGCTATAAGTATAGTAGCTAGTGTAGAACCTTAAAGCAAACTTCTTAAATTAGACAACTAAAAGTTGTAATATAACTAGTTGTACTCTCATAATATTTTCGTAACATATTATTAGTCTATTTGACCAATAAACCCATTAGTACTAATAAAGTACCAAGAGTCTAAGTAGTCAACTTAATATTAAAAAAAAATTAATATTATAATATTTTAGTAATCATTTATATAATTGTTAAAGTCTGTAATTATTGAAGTAATACAATTGTAATTGATTTATAAATTAGTTATTTATATATAACATCGTGAATCAAAAATATAAAATTAGACAGTTATGATATTTACAATCTGATTTATATATATATATAATTAATTATTAATTAAATAATTAGAATATGAATATCATTAATAATATATATTAGTAAACCACTTACTATATTTTAATTAAATTCATCTTTTTAATAGTATTTAAGTAATTAAAGTTAGATTAAAATTAAAATAAGATTAGATTAAGATTAAAGTTTTGGTTAAAGTAAAATAAAATTATAAAAAATACTTTTGCTTAGTTATATAACAGAATTACTCTAGTAAAACTCTAGTAATATTAGCAATTTTATTATAAAGGCACAAAATAAATAGAGTATTAACTAGTTCTGTTCTATAAAAAATTCCATTAATTAGTAATCTACGAGTTAACCAGAGAGTGATCATAGTAAAATATAATATAGATTACTTATAAAAATTAAAGTTTTTAGAGGTGTAGTGACTTAGTGAAGTGGTGAAGTTGTCACACCCCCAGATGGCAGGTCTAGAGTTCAAATCCCATGGATGACATTTTTGAAAAATGGCCCTGTGATATGGTTAACAGCTATTCAACGATTGATAGGATTTAGAAATCTGTAATCTCGGTTACACCATCTAGAATGGGAGCCTTAGCGTAATAAATCTGAGATATCAGAAGAATTGAAAACCTGTTTGGCAAGTCCTGAGTTAGAAGGTAGCGCAATCTTCAACAGTACTACAGGAGGACCAAATTTGGAACTGGGAACTGAGATTAGAGAACCAAGCGACCAGGTCCTTAAGTAGAGGGACATACTAGCCAAACTGCTGGGCTGCCAAAACTAGATGAAAAGGATATATACTCTAGAAGCATGTACTAAGAAAGGAAGACCATTTAGATACCTAAAGTCTAGGTGAACCAACTCTTCCAAGTTGCCAGCTGAAAATAAGAGAGAGACCGATAAGGAATTCAGGAAAGAAGGAAAGTTTGAATGTGAGTGCTGGGGTTATATGAACCCAAAACAAGGGCAGGAGTATGTGACAACTACTAAAATAAGAAGTTGGAGTATGAGATATGGATTGGGTTACAACAGTATCCTAAAAGATAGCTTGAGACATGAACTCGGTGGCAGCAACACAATAGGTACTAGATTAGGAAGAAGTTACTGAACATGCAGATGAATACATGTGTGGGACATGTACCGCTCTGTTAGGTTTACCTTGAGAATAAAGTAGTCCTAGGTAGGGTGTGAAATCTACAGGTGTCGCAAAATCTAGCATATGAATAGTGAGTTACACCTTGGTTAGGTAAGAAATAACAGGCCGGTTGTGACCAGAGAGTTTAAATAGATAATCTCCTAGTCGGATTGCAGGTATGGCAGCTAGTGTAGAATCTTGGGCAGACCACTTAAATAGGCAACCAAAAGTTGCAAGTATAGCTAGTCATACTCTTACTTGTAAAAGCCAGAGAGCTTAAATAGGTAATCTCCTAGTTAGATTGCAGGTATGGTAACTAGTGTAGAACTCAGGTAGACTACTTAAATAGACAACCAAAAGTTGTATATGTGGCTAGTTGTACTCTCATTATAATTGTAAACATTGTTAATTATTTAATAAAAAGCTCCCGGTTATAGAGGTCACCTTAACAAAAAAAAAAAAAAATTGAGATATTTGATTTAGATAAATAGAACAAAAAAAGTTAACTTTATATAATATTTGATTAAATAAATTGAATAAGAAAAAGTAGTTTTATGTGAGTTATTTTAGATAAATAAAATAAGAAACAGTAACTCTATATAAAATATTTAATTTTAATAAATAGAACAAGAAAAGTAATTTTATATAAAATATTTAATTCAGATAAATAGAACAAAAAAAAACAATTTTATATAAAATTTTATTTTATAAATTTATTATATATTAAAAAATTAGTATTTAAATTAAATTTTTTTTTATCTTTACAAGTTTAAAATCTATTATATATACTTAAAATTAAGTTATTATATATACTTAGAATTAAATTGTTATACTGTATATATTTAGAATCAAAATTGCTATATATATACTTAAATTAAATTATTATATATATAGTAGGCCAATTTATATTAGTAATAAGAAGTTATTAAATTTAAAATATTATAAACTATTAGATTTATATAGTGGAATAGATGGGTAGATTAGTATTTTATCAAGTTATTAATTTTAACAAAATTTGTTTAAAAAGATCTAGCAGTATATCTTATATATTTGTTATATACTTTATTATATATTATATATAGAGAATTGCTATTTCCACCATGGTAATTTGCTATTTTATTAAAAAATTCTTTAATTTTTAAAAAACTAATTTTTACTATATAAATACTAAAAATAGAAAATTTTGTAAATTTTTGTATAGCCCATAATGAAAATAGCAAATTACCATGGTGGAAATAGCTATTCCCTATATATATATATAATTAACAATACAAAAATTAATTAATAAATAAATAATAAATTTATTATTTTAACTAACATTATAAATAACAAATATAGAAAAATAAAATTAAAAATAATAAAAATCAATATTGCAAATAGATATTCTAATAAAAAATAATATCTTTTAATTTGTAATACAGACAAATATATTTGTATTTTTATTAAAAATTTTAATTTTTTAATAAAATTTTAAATATTAATTTTATTTATATATCAGTCTAGTGTTTTTCCAAATTTGACATTACTGAATATAAATATGTTCTATGACAATCAACATCATACAATTTTCTAGAACTTATTCATGAAATTGAATTTGATTGGCTATCAAATTTCATATATATAGTAGATTATCAGATGGCAAAAAAAGTACTTTTAGAATACTGTGTGCGCTTATTAGTATACAGTAAAAACTCTATAAGTGCATACTCTTGGGGCCAAGTTTTAGCAACATACACTTTAGCACTTAGAGATCAACAAGAGAAAGTGTATTTATAGAGGCCTGTATATATTTAAGACAGAGCTTAAGTGTGCATTTTAGAGAGGGTGTGCACTTATAGTTGTATAGAGGGTGCACTTATGAAGGTTTTACTATAGAACTTTTATATACTGGATCAAAAAGCTAGATTAAGAAATCCTGTGTACACCTTTACTGCATGCATTCAGAAATGTCGACTATACAACATCAAATAAGTATAACATATCTTTTTTTTTTTCTTTTTTGTAGCTTTATTCATTTTATATTTGAAAAGGCTATTTATTTATGACTACTTAAATAACCACCTTTTTTTTTTAATTTTCAGAGTATTTTTTAGCTACTTTTTTATGTTGTCTCTTTAGCTGCATCAACATCAGTTGTATTATGAAGATCTCAAACTTGTTGCAAAATTAATAATAATTCTTTCTTTTTTTTTGACCTTAATCACCTAAATTGTGATCATTTGGCTTTATTTAGGGATTCGACTAATGTTTTAATCACGAATACTACTTCTTCTTTCTTCAATAAACTTTTGGCTGATTGTAATTGTGCTTCATTATAAGTAACAGGAATAGATCGGGTAGGCTTAGGACTAATTAAGCCAAGCTTTCCTTTAATATAGTTTATACTTTAAGCTTTGGCTTTAATACTGAAGGATTTCATTTGTACACTTAATTTATTATTCCTATCTAAACTGTCAAAGCTATTATTTAAATTTAGATTTGGATTTAGAAAATCTGTTTTTCTTAACTGAATTCGAAACCTTTGTGATTCCTCTTCATAGTCTGGATGGCTTCGTGGACCCGAACTTTTAGAATCTGCATATCTTATTATAGTGAATAATTTTTTTCATAGCTATCAAGATAATATTTATTAGGAAGAAAAATATTAAGTATATCAAATAATAATAATATATTGTATATTTTTATATTTATTATATTTATTCTTACCTTCATAAATTTTGTACAATTTCTTGCAGCTATTTCCCAATACTTTTAAGCTGGTATAGGTGGGATCAGTGTTTTTAATGTCTTATTTATCTCTTCAAGTATAGCATCTAATCTCTGATATTGATTTAACCTTCCTGATCATACTACAACAGAATTATATTCGATAATTTGACGAATCTTAGGATGAAGATACATTAATTGTTCTTTATCAGCTACTTCAATTGCTTGGTAAATAGGATGCCGTCTTGCAGACCAGATAGGAGCAAACATTCTATGTGCTGCCGATTTAAGCAGAGGTTGATTATATCTAACACTGGTGTAAAAGTTTATAATTGCTTGTAGGTACCAAAAGATCTAGACATAATCTAATATTAGTAATTAGAATTTAAATTTACAGTTCATTTTTTTGATTTTTAGCCCAATCAAGAAAACTGTTAACAGATGAATTAGAGACTGAAGCAATGTATAGCCAAACCAATTCCATTGTCATTGCATGCCAGTAAATATTGCACACTGAATCCCATGCTTTATGGTGATTAGCACATTTTTTAAAATAACCTAACTGATTTTCAGTTCTATATCTTTGGAATTGTGCGAAATCTCGTAAGTTGATGTTTTTGCAATATAACAAAATCAGTTATTTTAGTAATTTAATAATTAATTATTAAGTGGAATGGTGAATTTTTTACTATATTGTTACTAATATAGTTTTTCTTTTTTTTATTACCAATTCAATTCTACGAAAACTTTTAACATATTTATTTCTTTATGAAGTGAACCAGGCAACAAAATAATTTTTGGATATTTGGATTTAAATTTTTGTAAGGAAGTCTGTTACAAACTACTACAATCCATTTTCAATTTCCATTATTAACTCTACTAATATTTTGAATATGATCAAAAATTTTGTGAATATTATCAACAGAATTTGGATTAATTGGTAAAGGATCAGGTACAAAAACATCAGGTATTTTAACACCGTCTTGAGGTTCCAAATTTTGTGTTATACTTATTGAACTTGTAGATTCATCCGATTTATCTGATTTACTTTCTTTAAGTTGATAGGGTCTAAAAGTTAATGGCTTAATTGAATCTTTCTCTTTCTTATTGGATATGGTTTGCTCTTTTTCTTGTTGAGTTTCAGCGAGTATAGGAAGTTTTGCATTACATTGAGGACATTTATGCTTAGAGTTTTCAATATCTTTTTTACTACAATCATAACATTGTTTTTAATTTTTTGTTTTAGCACTTTGATTAGTTATTAAATTGTCAATAACATTTATTTCTTTATTTTTTTCTGTACATAATTCAGTTATAATAGATAAAAAATAATCGTGAAGCTGACAATCAAGCAATGCTTGCATTTCTGAAGTAAGACCAAATAATTCTTCAATATGGGATATATTAAGATTTTGATATAGCCAAGAGTTTTTAAAATTTTGTATTTGATTAGTAGGATCGAAGTTAAATAAAACAAAACTAGTGACTGTATAAAAGATCACTTTATTATATTCATAATCTAAATAATTTTTTTGGCCTTTTTGTTCATTATCAAATACCATAAATACCAAACCATTTGGAAATTACTCGCTAAAGTTTCTTGCTAATTAATAAATTTAGTAAAACCACCACTATTTATAATATGGCTATCGATATCAATTATCATTTTAAACTTTGCTATAGAGTATTTTATTGCTGATAGTGCTAAATTAATCAAAGATATATATTTTAAATGTCTTATTCTATATATATTATCTATTGCTACAGCATATTTAAAAAGTTTTTCTCCTTTGTAATAGTCTTCATTTTCATTATGCATAAGAGTTTTTATAAATTCTACTACAACTGGATTACGTATTATAAGCTATTAAGATGGAGAATAATTTAAGAGACTATCTAAACAAAAGCACTCACGGTTATTTATTAATTTAACGACATCATCATACAAGGCAATTCATTCTTGTTTGGCAATTTCCACAATGGCTTTAACATGCTCTTGTTGGTTATCATATTTATTATTTAATTTTTTTTTTAACAAATTATTCTTAAGTAGTAATTGTTGATTTAAACATTCTAATTCATTAATTTTTTTAATAAGACTTTCATATTCGGAGATTCGGTAATGAATGTTCGGGTAACAATACTTGAATCCCAAAATCACGAAAATTTATTTTATTATTAGACAAAACTTTTTTTTTAGTTTTTTTCATTGGAACATAAAAAACAGAATCACCAACTTTTTCTATTTGCTCAAAAAAAAAATTTTTAATGATTATATTGTTGTAATGTTTTTGACATACAGAGTATTCGTTCAAAGAACCAAGTAATGGTGATAATTTTAGAAGATACTTAACCAAACCCTTGGCTTTATTCTCGACTATGGGGCCATTCGCATGTTGCTACCTTTGCTTTTCAGGAGTTTCACATATTGCCAACTCACTTTTCGGGTAATCCCTAGCAAGAAAGTTAAACAAACAAGGTAAATCTTTGGCTTCTGTTCTTAAAATCACTATGTCTATATATAAATATATATGTATTTTAAGCAAGAATAAAAAAAAAACTACACTATAAACTTTCATGGATCCTTGTGGATTCTTAAACTATGGGTTTTAAAAAATATATTTTAACAATTAGTTTTTTTAAAAACTTAGGCAAATTTTTTTTTTAACATCACGAAGTTCACGGCTTTGCATTGATAAGGATAATCATCTACCAATTAGATTTCAAGACATAATTTGAAATATTCTAGATCTGATTTCCAAATTGGGTAAAATACCAGACTGTATTAACTATATTTTGGTTTGTTATATATTTTCTAATAATCTCTATCTCTAAGTTATCTATTTGTTTTATATTTATTATTTCTATCTTACTATTTTCTCTTAGTTGTTTAACTCTATTTTCTTTATAACAATCATATCTTCTTTAATTAAAGTCACTATCTTTTTATCTTTACCTAACTGTTTGAAACTACATCAATAATTTGGCTATGTCTAACTAATGATATCTGGTTTGTATTAGAGATTTCTGCCAAAATATCTCTTTTGTACTTTTTAACTACTTTGCTTAAGACAAAATCTATATTATTTTCATTATTTCATTTAAAAATAAAATATTCTCTCTTTCATTTATCTTTGAATACTTTTGATAGCCTGGTTTTGAGTACTAAATAATTGCTTGCTAAGCAATACTTCTCTTTAACACTTCTGCTAGATACTGTTTTAATTAAGAGTTGCTTAATTTTTCCAAACCAATTAGCTTTTTTGCTTCTAAGTAGTTTGTTTCTAAGTAGCTTTAGTTGCTATATTATCAACTTATTACTCTCCTTATTAAATAACTATACTGTGAAAAAGATTCCTAGCTCTTTAAGATTCTTGCTATAGAGATTATATATATAAGGATCTATAATGCTTCTTATTGTTTCTCCAAAATCTTTAATCTCCCAAAGGCTTTTTTTGTTATTATTTTAATCTCTAGTTTTGCTACTTGTAATAAAAGCAAACATGCCAAATTATGTTTTCAAATCTTATATAATTCTTGTTTTCTAAAGATATTATAGCTACTATTAGTTAGATCTATATTTAAATAACTTTATTTAACTCTAAACTTTGTTATACTACTAATACAACTATAGCTATTTAATCTTTGTATAAGATATATAATTTGTTTGGTTATCAAACTATGCTATAATAGTGTACAGTTGTCTATATTGGGATGATGAACTAGATAGTTGTCTACTACACTAACAAGACTTGCTTTGTTTTTGACTAATTTAATAAAGGCTGATAGATTGTTATAAAGAAAATAGAGTTAAACAACTAAGAGAAAATAGTAAGATAGAAATAATAAATATAAAACA